GTCATGATTGATGATGAATTTATGCATATGTTCGTAAAGCGCTTAGCTCAATACTCGAGTGAGTTAAGTGATCGACATTATATGAGTGTGGTGCTTCAATATTGTTTACCTACGGATACACTCTACACTTTGGGTCATGTGGTAGATCGTGGATGTGACACTCCCATTAAGTCCTTTGTAGTCCACTCCCCATTTACAGAACAAGTAGAATCCGGTTGCGAAGGGAGACAAGCTCTATTCTTGATCTTACTTAGTAATGTTCCTTATGCATAGATACAGAGTTAATTATGCTATAAATGAGAGTGTATATACTTGTGTGTACAAAAGACTTAGTAAATAAGGAATGACTTAGAAATCTTTTGCTCTTAACTAATCTCCTGCCTAGCCATACTACATTTATGAGTATCTATTCCTATCTCTGGATTACTATCAATGCCTTATACTTATCATTTATTTATCATTTGACTTACCCCTACTATAGCATGAGAGTTAATGATCTTGTCATAAGTATGCATATTTGTCAATATCTCTAGCCACCCCATCGCTCCTCCCTGTGGAAAATGTAAATAACGATACCTGATTTACTCCCGAGTGAAATGCTATAATGGTACATTATCTGTGCGATTACGGATTACTTAATATATATATATAAGTGTTCTCAATAATTACCAACAATGCATTTTTGGCATCATTGCTAGGGATGACAACTTAGTAAAGAGTGACACTAATAAATACCAACAATGAGGGCAGCGGTACTTTCCTATTCACCAGCAAGCTGCTCTCGATGTGTCATCTCCGTCGATGTCTCTACTCTGGTGGAGCTTCTCAGAGTACCAGCATTCTTCAAAAAAAAGGTTTTTCCTACTTGCCTGGGAGGGGGGCTTGCCTTGGGAGAGACAGAGGACCTTGGAAACAACATCAGTACTAGTCATTGGTTGCTGTCCATCAACAATAGGTTCTGCTTGCATAGCTTTTATAGCTTCCTACGAAATTCAATCAGTAAAACATTAGGTTACAGATAGTGGAAGAGGATTTCAATTGAAAACGCAAGAGATTAATTCATAACAAGTAATGCATAGGACTTCCTCAGCCTACTGCTGATAGAGATTACATAAGCACAATACATAGATCTTTTGCAGCCTACTGCCGATAGAAATTACATAAGCACAATATACAGATACCATATTGATTGGTGTAAAATTGCAACTACAAAATTAAATTATGTTGCCACATTAGGCTCTTGCTGCATTTTTTCTTTTATGGCAATGGGTCCCATAGGTCGGATGGAGATGAAGAAATGTCCCACAGGTACATGTGACACGTAAGCCGTCCGGTCCTAAAGGTCGAATGGTCCCACAGGTACACGTGACATGCAAACCATCGGGTCCCATAGGTCGGATGGAGATGGAGAACGGTTTCACAGGTACACGTGACACATAAGCCATCGGGTCCCACAGGTCGAATGGAGAAGGGTCCCGCAGGTACACGTCGGATGGAGAAAGGACCGAGTAGAGACTTTTATGACGAATTGCAAGTATCATGGATGAGTAACTGCAGGTCCCATAGATATACATTGCATGGAGAAAGGACCAAGAGAGAGATTTTATGACGAATTGCAAGCGTCACAGATGAATAACTGCATGTCCCACAGGCACATGTCGGATGGAGAAAGGACAGTGTGGAGATTTATGACAAAGTGTCATTCGTTACAGATCGAAAACTTCATCACAGATGTGTAATTAGTTCAATGATGAAGCCCTAGTCGTCACAGTTCTAAAGAGGATCGTCACAGATGAGTCATGCGAGTGATCTGTGACAAAACCGTGTGCTCTTCTATGACGCTTCTTGTGACGATATCTGATTTCATCATAGATAGCGATGGTTGGAGGATCGTCACCACTGATCTATGACGAAACGTAAATATTCATCATAAAAACGTTGTTCTATGACGGTTTCGGATTCGTCATTAAGATTTTTGTCATAGAAATGGATATTTCTAGTAGTGAAGGGTGAAGTAATCCATGTTTGCATATTTGCTAAATTCTAGAAGTTGCATGGGTAATTGTACTCATTGCTAAGAAACAATTAAGAAGCATAGCATATTCGCATTATTGGCTGGGTTTGTCATATTTTATATATACATTCTATATGTAATCTTGTATGCCCACCTACATACAAATCAAAGAAATCCGTGGAGAACTTGTTGGAGAAACTATAGGCATTGATTTGCTACGCCGGGGCTAGGAACGAGCTGCCTTAACAGCTGTCCACGGGGCGGGGTTCAGTATCGTCACGGCTCAGGTGTTGCTGCGGACCACCTCACCAAGGGCCTGCATTCGTTTCGCAGAGGCACTGGGAGGAGGGAGACGCACACGTCGCGGCAGGTGGAAGAGGCGGAGGGGATGAATGGGTTCGCGAGCGAGAAGGAAGGAGTACTAAATAATTTGCAACCTATGAGTCAGCCATTAGTATATTTCAATATCACAATTGCTAGACCATATATACGCATATATATACCGACATAATTTGTGCAAATCATTCTTGTGAGGGACGGAGCTATATAGACAACAGACAATAGAGGGACGCAAATTCGAATTTATTCCTATGAAATGTTGAGAAGATACCTACCACCCAGAGCTACCTTGAGCTTCCACAATCTCAACCCATGAGCCAAAGAAACAACATGGGTTATTAAAGATGGCGCGGCAACGCCGCGCCTAGGTTTTCTAGTACACTAATAAACACGAATGAAGGAACTCTCCATACACAATTATTGGGCCAAGGAACTCATTGGTGGGCTAAATGCTTGGTTGTGGTGTGGGCTGCCACAGGGCAATGAACATTCCAAGACCAAAGAGTCCTCCTCAGCGACGTACGTATGGACTAATATTTATAGCACGTGCACGTCCCGGGCAGCGTCGACGGGTTAGGTTGAGCCGATGCCGATGGATCCGTCGAATCCAATCCTGTGGTCGAATTGAATTGAAGCCAACAAACAGACATGGCGGCGGTGTCGACGCTCAATGCGGCGTTCGTGCATGGCATGCACCTGTTTGAAATCGACGGCTACAGCGATCTCAAGGCGCTCGGCCGCAGAGACGGCGTCACGTCCGGCACCTTCCGCGTCGCCGGCCGTGACTGGAACGTCGTCTGCGTCTTCGACGGCCGCCTAACCGACATCTCCCTCGAGCTGGCGGAGAAGGAGGACGGCGATGGCTATGTGGACTACCAAGACTCCGTCACGGCGATGGTGAGCTTCAGCATCGACGACCCCACCGGCGGCCGCAAGCCCATGAAGATCGGAAGCAGATACGGGGATGAGGGCACGGTCTTCATCTTCACCCACAACTCCCGCTCCTACACGGTCGACGTTCCAGAGGCGATCCACAATAAGCTGGAGGCGCGCTACGTCAAGGACGACTGGCTGCGGATCCGCTGCGCCTTCCGCGTCCTCAAGGTGGAGTCGGCCGCGACCAGGTACTGCTTCGTCGCCGCGCCACCGCCGCCGGACATCACCCGGGTCCTGAGGGTCCTGCTGGACAGCGGGAAGCGTGCGGACGTGACGCTCGCCGTGGAGAGGAGCTGCCCCTTCGACGCGCACCGGCTGGTGCTCGCCATGTGCTCGCCGGTGTTAAGGGCCAAATTCTTCGGGGACAGCAGGGACAGCAGCCTCGAGTGGTTCAGGGTCCACGACGTGAGCGCCCCCGTGTTCAGGGCCATGCTCCACTTCATCTACACGGACGAGCTGCCCCCGGCGGACGAAGAGGACGGCGGCGAGGAGGCGGCCGCCGCCTCCATGTCCATGGCGCAGGACCTGCTGGTGGCTGCTGATCTCTACGGCCTGGACAGGCTGCGGCTCATGTGCGAAGGATGCTGTGGGAGCGCGTCCGCACGGACGGCGTAGGGAGCGCGATCTCGACGCTGTCGCTGGTGAACGGCCGCGACAACTGTCGCGAGCTCCAGGACCTGTGCATCGGCTACGTCGCCGACGACTGGGAGGCCGCGACGGCGACGGAGGAGTACTGGGAGCTCAAGACCAGCTGCCCCGCTCTCCTCAGCGACGTCCTCGAGGACGTCATAACGAAGCAGCTGCTGCATGGTCGGCGCCCGCCGAGCCCATCATCAGGCATCGCCGCCACGAAGACGACGACGCCGACGCAGACGAGCGCGTCGGTGTACAGGCCGTCGGAAGTGTGGAGAGGCAGGTACCAGTTCACCGTCCTGGGCCACAGCGCCGTGCGCAGGACCCACGACAATGGCGAGTTCATCCGTTCCGGCGCCTTCGAGGTGGGCGGCTACGAGTGGCGGATCCTGTGCTACCCGTCGGGATACGACGACGGGCACGAAACCGTCTTGCTGCAGCTGCAGGTGGCGACGACTCCCATGGATCCCGATGTCGTCTTGGAGGCGTCGGGGAGCATCGCCATCGGTGATGGCAGCAGCTCTGTCTCCGAGTCCGAGAGCGAAAATGATTTCTGCTGCATGGCCGATTTCTACACCAACGATGAGCCAGCCGAAGGACGTAGAAACCTGACCATCTCATGTCTCGTGGGTCCCGACGACAGCCTCACGGTGGAGTGCAGCTTCGAGTTCCAGGTGGTGGCCAGCAAGACGACGACGACCGCCGCACGCGCACGCCTGCTGGACCCGGAGCAGGACATGGTGGTGCCGCCGCCCAGCATCTCCTGGCACCTCGAGCGGCTGCTGGAGACCGGCGTGGGGTCGGACGTCACCTTCTCCGTGGAGGACGGCGAGTTCCAGGCGCACACGCTGGTGGTCAACGAGCGGGCGCCGGCCCTCCTGTGGAAGACATGGGCGGAGGTGGTGAAGAGCAAGAAGGGCAAGAAGAAGAAGGAGGACAGGAAGATGATGATATGGATCGAGGGCATCAAAGCCATCGTCTTCAAGGCCCTGCTCCACTTCGTCTACATGGACGAGCTGCGCCGATGGACGACCTAGTGCGCGCCGCCGGAGCCGGGAAGCAGCCGTCGTCGAGCAGCATGGCGCGGTTGTCCGGCGATCTGCTGGCGGCCGCGGAGCGGTACCAGCTGGTGGAGAGGATGCGGCCCCTGTGCGAGAACCTGCTGTGCGAGCTGATCACGCAGGAGAACGCCGCGGCCACGCTGGAGCTGGCGAGGCGCCACGGCCGCCCCGAGCTCCGGGCTTTCTGCCTCGACTACATGACGTCGCCGGGCGTGTTCAAGGCGGTGGTGGCCAGCGAGGGCTACCAGGCTCTCCCCGCCGACGCTCTCCGGGACATCATCACCCAAGTAGCTCATTAGAACTAGCTAGCTGCTTCAATTCTTTCCTGTTCAAGTAGTAATTGTTGTGATCATAAATATAATATAATTAATTATTAATGAAGAGAAATTATCTATTCTATCTATCCATAATACACCGGTTAGAATAAATCTACAGCCATAAATCTACAGCCACATAATAAATACCTGCTCCACAGTCATGACCTATGCCACATCCACACCCATGAATGCACCAAATTATCTTTTAATCATTCTTTCTTGTTACTCATCTAATCCGACAGCTCATATTTAACGTGTCTGCCCTCGTCGCCCTCCCGCGGAACTCCCACGCGCGCGTTGATTTCGGTTGCCCCCGTCCACCATTATTTGAATCCGATGGCACAGGAAGCGACGACCGCGAGGGAGACAGCACACTGCAGAGGGCACGACGACCACGAGGGGTACGGCACTGGGCGCGGCGGCGCAGATCGCCACTGCCCGGCGTCTGTCCCCGCGGTGGTAGGCGGCGGCGGTAGCGGCCGCCGGCCGGCTCGCCCCCACGCTCGGCCGGTGGCCCGTGGCCAGCTGGAGCGGTGATGGCCAGAAGGGCAGCCGGGGTGGCAAGCCGATGCCCGAGCCCGGAACCCTCGCGCTCGCCCGTCGGCCGAGCAGCGGTGGCGGCGGTCAGAAGGTCGGGGCGGCCTTGATCTGACCCCCCGTGCTAGGCGATGGCCTCGCAGCGGACAGCCGGGCCAGCCAGCCCGCGTGGCGGCGAGGTGTCCGGGGTGCTCGCCGAGACCCTGGCGTCCGCGTCCGCGTCCGTGTTCTGCACCCGCGAGGCCGTCTCGTCAGCCGCCGCCGCGTCCAAGAAATTGGCAGTGATGGCGACGCTCATGTCCTTGGCAACTCCAATGTGAGGTACAGGCGTACAGCACGGAGCGTCTCCTCAGATTCCCCGTCGTTTCTTATTGGTGGGCTGATGATTTTTTTCCTCCTTCCTTTGTCTTGATCTCATCGAGAGGCAGCTGAGCTTTTGCGGTGGAGTGTCGGTTCGGCAGCCAGAGGGGGCCCGGTGAGTCCCTCACGCCGAGCGTTTGCACTGAATGAGCCCTTTCTTATTATCATGCATATGTTATCCCAGTTAGACCTGCTTTTCAATTGCATGAATGTCACGAGCCTGTATGCCAAAGGCTTGAAGTTTTGAATATACTAGCCATATATTGAGTATAATCTTATAATAAGGTTTTCTCAAAAAGAATACAATATTGTGGGAGTGACAATCTGGTGGAAAAGAATGTGCATTGTCCCAATCAAACATTTACCCGCATTTCGAATTTTCCATTGTCAAGAAGTACTTAACAGCACTTCCATTTGAACAATTCTTTTGATCTAACTTATTTTAATTAATTAATTCTTTCAGGGCACTGGGCTCAAATAATTTTAACGGCACACTTTCTGACGAGCTGAGGAAATTGACAAAACTTCGACAGAGGTGAGTTGTCTATTTGGTCGCCTTACATGTGCTCTACATAACCATCTATGCTTTCTTCACTCTTTAAACTGATAGCTATATGCATGACATGACTGAAAAATGATGTCCATGTTTAAGTTGCAGATACATTGATAGTAACGACTTCAGTGGTCATCTATCATCGACATTGTCCTAACTGAAGAACATGTCAGTCTTGTAATTTAGTAAAATAAGATAGCACCTCGTGAATTTGCTCTTCCTTTGGAGGTAGAAGCTAATAATCTTACCCACCCTTGTCGTGTATCTAGGTGGGCATCAGACAATAATTTCAGTGGACAGATTCCTGACTATCTCAGGAGCGTGACTAACTTGACCCAACTGTAAGATTTCTGAAAATCACTAAGGTTACAATATGTTTCAAATTGTTTTCTTGACATCAATAGTGAGAAGAGTCATTCATTTTTCTGGAGAAGTGCAGGTGTTGCATATTTTCTGAACAACCCGTTGTACCAAAATCCTCTGTCGCAGGAGAAGGTCAGGATCCTTGATTTGAACAAAGATCTTTTGTGAGACGTCGTCATTGGTTGCCTCTGGTATCTTGGATATCTCAGTCAAATCCGATGAAGTCGTGCCCCAGTAAAGAGGTGGAGAACTTCAAGGAGAAGCATATAAAATATTTTATATTTGTGTTATCAAATTCTTTATTAATTTTTACTATATTGCATACGAAAAAAAATTCTAGGACTTCCCTTAGCTCAAATCCTAGATCCGCCACTGATTGTCGGCAGGCCTTGGAAGCTGCGACGACGACGCCCGTTGGTATGGCAGGCGGATGATTTGGATGCGCTCCTTGAAGTTGAAGAATCCATCTGATTATGATGCCTCCGGATGCAATCCCTTCTAATGAGCTTAAGGTCTCAATTTTTGCTTCATAAATTGCATAAATCCAAGCAGGGAGTTGAATTCCTGCGACATCTATTCTGCTCTATATAGTTTGGATGATTCCCCCTATGAGAACTTGATTACGATTGTTCCTATTTTGCAACACAGATATGCTTTTTTCTTAATAGCAAAATAAGGGCATTACTGCAACTAGAATCTGGTTGAGCACTACTCAAACTCATCGTGAAGATATACTTATTCTATTTCTATCTCCGTTTTGTTCTTTGCTTAATTTTACACCAGGTCCTGCGCACTTGGAAAAGGTATTGAGAGAGCAGATTGTAGGAGGCCAGCTTCATGCCCATAGGCCATGGGAAAAAGATAGTCATTTTTCTTCATATTTCAAGGCATGCATTTTTCTAATTGAAAGGTTGCCGGGAATTTGTGATTCTTTCTTTCAGTTGCTTAACAGATCATAGCGAATGTGTACTTCAGTTGCTTCGGACTTGCTAACTTGATGGATGTCAGATCAAATTCTATAGGGGTACATTGGGCAAAATCTGGTCTGTGAGTAATCCCTCTCATCAAATGGCAAAGGAACGTTTATCAAGATTGGTCATCCGGTTTATGTACTGCAATCACTCTCTTCTCAAGCTTTAGCCAGATTAATTGCTATACATTTATGCAAAAATTGTTCCACAAGAAACTAACAAACGTATGTATATCCAACAGACATCGTACTAATTTAGATGTATATGGTTGTCTGTCTAGACTTGCTCCTGCTCTCATGAAATGAACTTTGCTTTTGGGCACTGATTATGCCTTTGTCTGATTATTTATTCAGTTAATGAGTGTACATTTGTCTATCATAGGTTATTATTTTTTTTCAATTAATGAGTGTATATTTGTTTATCATAGGTTTGCTCAAAAGAAATTAAAAAAGGATCGTATTCTCATGTTCACTTGAATGGTTGAGCTGATGTTTAGTTTAACAAATACCGTACTTGATAAACCGCTGTGGTCAACAGAACCTCAGCACCAAGCTACAAAGTGTTTTCTTCGCTAGAGTCCTACTCACCATCTTTGCACAAGACACATAATTTGGCTAGGTACCTAACATATCTCTCTCTCTCTTTTTGCATGCAGGCAGGGATGGAAAAAATATTGATTGTTTTAGTTTCACATGGAGACGGGAAAAGATGCAACTTGAGATGAAGGCATCAGGCGTTCCCAATCTAGGTGACCGTGAGTGACGTGTTGATAGTCTTTAAGTCATGATTTTGTTTCTTTTTATTTTTTCAATTTAGCTTGATTCGTTTTGTTGATTATGTTAATGGTACTGTGTGCATTCATTTATTCATTGCCTAAAATAAGATGGGCATTATGTAGATATGTGTCGATATATAAAATCGTAAGCTCTTCTGTTAGAATATGATAATGCACCATGTATATTTTTTCTTCGTTTTCTTGATCCAACATTTGGTCAATTTAGTCAAAATAATTTTAGAGGTTAGTATATATATATATATTCAATTATATATGTACTTGTATGGTAATTAATGGAGTTGCAATGTAATTATCCATAAAGGAAACCATTGGAACCTAATTTAAGGGAGTACCAGTTTGTGATATCTTTCGGTGGTTCTAATTTGCACACCCGAATGTTGTCGTAGCGTTAGCACGGGCACGCTACTAGTAATTAATCAATAATCGAGTTTGCTTGGCTTTTAACTAACTCGATGATCCAATACTGCCAGCCAAGAGCTGCCGCCGAAACGCACGCATGGTCTGCCGGCACGTACCAGCAGCATCACCCATAACGTGTCGAGCGAGCACCCATCGTTACTAGTACTCTTCATCATGCATTGCATTGCATCCGATCGATGATCCAAACCATGGCGGGCCGTGGCCACGGCAAGCAGCGCGCCGCTGAACTCCTGGCGCTCGCCGGCCTCCTCGTCGTCCTCGCTGGCCTGACGCTGTTTGCTTCCCTCGCCGGCCTCGCCGCAGCGGTGCCTCCGCTGCTGCTCCTGAGCCCCGTGCTCGTCCCCGCGGCGCTGCTGGCTTGGCTGCTCGCGACGGGCGCCGTCGCGTCGGCCGCGCTGGCCCTCGGAGCCCTGTCCATCCTGTCGCGCCTGGTGCGCAAGGCTGCAACAAGCCCGAGCGATGGCGACTGCGATGGCGACTGCGTTGACAAGGGGAAGCGGCGCGTCGGGGAGCTGGCGGCGGTGGCCGGCGACAGGACGCCGCACGCGGCGCTGGCCGTGGTGAGCCCGGGACAGGGCCTCACCGACCACAAGAAGGCCAAAGACTACAAACACTACGTCGCCGGACGGATGGTACAGGACGACTCATGAACCTACCACAACTCCATCTACTAGTAGTACAGTGTACATGCTGTTACCGTCCTGCCTGTCTGATGAATCCCTTGAGTTGTAGTTGTAATCTTACACCGGTCGGTATGATGTGTACTTCTATTTTGAATTGAGAACGTAATAAACTTCTATTTTGCTGTGGTACCTCAAATAACCGTGAGTTATTCATTTATTTCGATCAGATCGGACGGTTACTGTCATCTATCTTTTTCTAGATTTGATTGATACGTGTGCATGCGTGAGGTGAGAGCGTGAGTGGATAATGATGTGTGCATGCACGAGGCCGTGAGTGGATTCAGATCAAATACGTGTGAAATTGAATTTAGATAGAACTATTTACCCTATTTTAGTTCAAATTTCAATACCGACATGGATAGTTCGAATTTATATTTACATTCTAATATCAACTTGATTTTGAAAACAACAAATACAATATCCATTTGCTTCATTGATTATTTTAGTAGAACAAACAATTATGCAAGTAGAGATTTAAAATATGAGTGTAAAAGATTTTGAAACATATTTTGAAACCTGTCAAGCTGGCCGGTCATTCCAATGATGGACCCAAGAAATTTTGCGCTGCTGCCAGTACGAGAGAAGAATCGGGAGGCTTGTTTTCACAGAGAAAGGAGGAATCCCTGCCATCTTTACTCCCGTCATTATTGGAACCGGGAGGAATTTTATTTGTTTCCCTAAATTTTAATTTAGTAACTAATTCATAAAATTTTGAGCTGGGCGCCCTGCAGATGATGCTAGAACCCAACCTTAACCTCCTGCTCAGACACGAGACACTGATGTTTTGAAGGTGATGACAATCTCGCCCCAGCTAAACAGAGCTTCTACAAAAACTGTGGGGAGAGCAGCGGAGGACGCTAGCCACCTTGTCTTCTCCTGTAACGACGTCGCTCAGTCCTTGTGGGCGCATCTTGGTTGCAGTTTTTAGAAACTAACCTCCTCTTAATGAAAAACGTGCCTTATGGCACAATTGAAAAAAAAATAGAAACTAAACCAGCAAACATAGCCAATACAGCTTTTAATGCAAAGCATGGTCAAGAACCTGGCACCAAGCACTTGCAGCGTGTTCGCTGGGCTGGCTGGTTGGGGCTGGGCTGGCCAGCCTCCTCACAAAAACACTGTTCATCTGAACCAGCCAGCAGTACTTCTCTCTCACGTAAACGAACCAGCAACGATACGAACCAGCCAACCGAACATGTTGTTGTTTGTTGGTAACAATCTTTCTTAAAAAATTGATTTTTTTTCATTTTAGTTTTCCTAATATTTATAGGGTGGTAGTTATTTTCTTCTTGAAGAAATAATCGTATGATGAACAATAATGTCTATGGTTCCAAATATACTAGCTCTTCAAGTGATTATGGCATCAAGAGGTTAATAGTCAAGTGCTAATAATTAACTCTTTGACCTAAACAAAATCTACCGACCGAACTAGATAGCTAATAGCAGGTAATATTAGTTGTGACGTCTTGAGAAAGCGGTTTTAAAGATATGTTTGACCTTCCTATTTTTTAGAAAAAAAATGAAGGAAAAATTCTGAGTTTGAGTTTGGCCCGGCCGGTGTCTCGTTTCTGCCAAGAAGCAAATCTCGCTCTGCAATTTGTGCAGGACAAAGAAGAAAGAGAAATAAAAGTCGTAAATAAACTTGGTTGTCCTTGAAGGTCACATACGTACAGCACGCACGCACGTACGTCCTGCTATATATACACACACGTACATACAGATATACCAAACGCCTAAGTAGCTAGTCCTTGGTCTTGAGGTTGCCTCTGACGCAGGACTTGACCAAGCTCTTGAGCCCCTTCTTCTTCTTCCTGCTGCTTGGATCGTGCACCTTCTCCTTCCTGGTGTCGTGGCCATAGCCGCCGACCATCGCTCTCGCCTGGTGGCTAGCCTTGTCCTCGTCTGCTGGTGTGATCTCCATGTCCTCCTCCATCTGCAACAAGCAAGGAAGCACATGCATATATATGAAGTAGCTGCGATAGATACAGATGGATGAATTGAAGACGACGACTGCATGATGATGAATGAAAAAAAGAGAGGACAAAATCCAACGACCTTGAGCACACGGTGTTCGAGGAAGGCTATGCGGTCGATGAGGCTTCCCTTGGCCTGCGCCTCCTCCAGCACTTTCTTGGCCGGCCGCGGGCGGAGCCAGGTCTTGCTCCCCCGCGGCGTGCTGGCGGCGGCGGAGTCGTCGTCGTCACTACTGATGATGACGAGCCCGCGATGGCCGCCGGTGGCAGGTGGAGGGCGACGATGCGGTGGTAGCACTAGGAGGACTAGCGCGTTGCCGTTGCCGTTGCGGTGCATGTCCTCCAGGTATCCCAGCAGCAGGTCCAGCCGGTCCACCCGCGCCATCATGCTCGCCGCCGCCGGCTGCCGCGCAACCGTTGCCGCCATGTATGTATCGCTAGCTGCTGTCTGCTGATGATCGTCTGATCGACGACGACGGCGACGACGACCTTCACACTACACTACTGCTAGAGTGCTAGAGGTTTCGATCGATATTCCTACGATCTCGTCGGCCCGGCATGCGATCGAGTGCTATATATAGTACTCCGTACAAGTAAAAGCAACTAGTACTCCGGTCGGCCGGCCGAGCGGGCACGTGTCGGTCAGCGCCGACGTGGCAGGGTCCGGACTCCGGAGGCGCTCTGCGTGGCGCATGCCCATGGAGCCCAACTGCATGCTCTCACTCCGTCAGCCAGTTCGTCGGTCGTCCCTGTCCCGATAAGGCGATAAGGTTCAATTTGGCAGTCATGCAGTAGGTATATGGTATGGTCGGTAGCGTCTAGAAGGACGGACGGACGGACAAGCCGAAGCCGAAGCCGGGACAACGTACTTCTTCTTCCTCAGATCTGCCGAAGAAAGAATAGTCTTGCTCGCTGAAAAGTCCAGTAGTTCCAAATTTAACTAGCTAGATTTATATTTATAGAAAGTATAGCATCAATATAAATCATATAATTATTTTTACAATCGATTTAGTAATAATTATCAAGTATCATAACTATTAATTAATAGTATTATTGTATAAATATTTAGTAATCAGATTTGGAATCCTTTAACTTCTTAGAAAACAAGATTTCTGTTTCATTGGACGGAGGGAGTCCTTTGTTACGGTACTCCTTGAATCTATCTTGTGATATAGTTTATACAAAGAATTTCAAGGCAGATTAAGAGAAAATAAAAACGTACGTGTCCTCACTTTGTTTGGTAACCAAACGTTATAATCAATATGATTGATAATGATTGGTTGGTAAATAGCAAGTAACGATATAATATCTATCAAATTTATACAACTATTTAATGCAAAACTGATTGATTGGTTTCTCGCATAAGGTCACGAGTGAACGCCTTTGCGAAATAACTTTTTCTCGTATCTATATCTATCTATTCAGTATACATTTATTATTTAGCTACTAGGACACAAGTAGGATGCAAGCTAATTTGAGAAGTTAAACAAAAGGGCGTGGCCTGAGCTTGGACATCCGGACGCTAGTCCCGTCTGAACGCCCGTGCCGCTGCCCCCCGTCTCGTGTCCTGCGCCTGCCAGTCCACGTCTCGCCTGCAAGCACGTGGGGCTCGCACGCGCCGGTGGGGACCGCCTCCGTCTTCTCGCGCCTAACACCGAGGCGAGACAGCAGAAAGACGAGGAGGGAGATGTAACACTCGATCTAGTTTTGAAACATTCAGATGCAACAACTGCAACATACGTCTGAAAACAAATGAAACATATGAAACATGTGTCTAAAACACTTGTAAAACCACCTGAAAGACACTTGAAACCATTGTAAACATACGCAATATCCAGATAAAGCACTTGCATCATGTGTGAAAACATATGCAACATTCAAATAAACACTCTTGCAACATAAGTCGGAAAAAACAAATAAAACATTGAGAACAGGAGCTTGCAACAAACGTGTACAACCATTGCAACATGTGCAACATCCTGATCTGCTTTTGCAACATCCGTATGAAACACTTGCAACATACCTCTAAAACATTTAAAACACTTGAAACAGACGCTTGCAATATGTGTTTTTCACCCTTCTTCCGTATGACGCAGCGCAGAGCGGGGGACGGCCGGTTCCGGCCAGCTAGCAGCCGAGGATGGGGATGGTGGCGGCGGCGGCGGCTGCTGCGCCATTCTTTCTCCTGGCCTAGGCCTCACATTTATTATAACGACGCCTCCCTCGCCGCCGCCTAAGGCGCGCGAGAGGGCCGAACCTACGAGGGGACGGAGGCGCCACTGCACTCGCCAAGCACGCGCATGGAGCTTAGAGGTGAAGGGCAAGGCACCGACGACCAGGTCTGGCAGCAGTTGCAGTCGATGGGCGTGGCTGGCAGCGTACCTCACGCGAAGGATTCCTCCTCTCCGAGGGAGACGGAGGTGCCGCGGGGATTGGGGGCGCGCGCGGGGACGGTGGCGGTGGAGCGGGATGGAGGCGGAAGCACGGCGGATTGGGACGGTCGGACGGCCGCACGGTGCCGTGAAGCCGCAACGCACGAGCGCGGAGTGCGGGAGACGAGCTCCCTTGGAGATTTGATTTTTTTAGACGAGCGTCGTATGCGGCTTTGAGTGGAGCGAGACATCCGCCGTTTCGAACGTCTTAATGGTAGTGTTAGCGTAGAGAAAATGAAACACGCCCTAGTGAATTGGAGGCCATTGTCTCGTGAGCTGCCCTAAGTACGTACGTACAGCTAGCCGATCAAATCAACAAACAAAATACTAAATTTGGCGCTGTAGCGCCGCCCCCAACACAACCGGCATGGCTAGACTGGCCAATTGATTTACTAATTTATACATAAACAGTTAGGTTAGAGGACTTGTTTTCTTGGACGCAACGTCGATTCATTATTCTCGTATCGACGTTGCCTTTCTCATCTCGCTTTGCGCTTCCCAATTCCCTAACCCTCCACACGGCATGAAGAGTCAAAGATGCAGCGGTTTTCACCATTTGCTTCTTAAATTGACTTTGGTTTCCTCTTCTTCTTTTTAGATAATACTCCATCAATCCCAAATTATAAGTTATTTTAATTTTCTTAGAGAATCAAAGCGTCAAAATTATATTTATATAGTAAATTATAACATTTAATGGTACCAAATAAGTATCATTAGATTTTTTATTAATTATATTTCTCATAATAGTATGCCCACTTGATGTCATAGTTGTTTGTAATTTGTAATTCTCTATAATTTGGTCAAACTTTAGAAATCGGTATGTGAAAATGGACTTCTCGTTCATTCGTTCTCACGGTAGAAACCCGCGGACAGTTGACGTGATTATTGGTGATTCTTGCAGCTGGGGACCCATAATTTGATCATTAGCGTACTCAAACAGGGTCATATTATGGCTAGATGCATAAAAATTCAATGTATTTGTTCCAAAAAAATTCAATGTATTTAAAATTCAAAATGATTTATAATTTAGAATGGATGAAGTATATATCTCGAAAAGTAAGACGAGCTGTAATGCAGAACGTGAAATGCTTGTCTTAGACGGAGCAGAGGGAGTACATGGTAGCCGAGCAGAGTCGTGTGGCAACAGAACAGAACAGAGCAGAGCACGCCATGTGTGAATTATCGACACAAGAGGATTACAGGAGACCCCAGGAATCAAAATCAGCAGTGCAGTATACGTAGAAAGAATGAAGGATTGATACTCTGAAACCCAATGCGCATATATGGATGAAGCAAAGCATTGAAGCAGGTAAAGGAGATTTGTTTATTACTGTCGCTGCATCTGATCATATTTACAGACTAGATAAATGGATTGCTGATCATATCATAGTCTGAATGTCTGATAGATAGATAAATGGATTTAGGTGCTACTAGCAGCTACTGCGAAATACTAGTAAAACAACTAGTGGAGTGGAGGGGGGAGTATTTACAGACAGCAATAAGGGATTGGAATGGAAGCATGGATGAGATGATGAGCCAGTCCAGTCCATGGTGAATGCAGTGCAGATGACACTCATTCACATGTGCTGGTCATCTTCGTCATCGCTGGGATCGTCGTCGTCAGCGGAGCTTGTTACGCGAGCGTGGTGGTTGCGGCCACGGTCAGCATGAGCATGAGCAGCAGCAGCAGCATCACGAGCGGCGAGGGCGGTGGACCTGTCGAGGATGAACTTGCCTTCCTTGTACCTCTGGCCCTTGTCGAAGGCGACGAGGTACTTCCAGCCGAGGATGGCTCCGCAGGCGACGCAGAAGATGTCGCAGACGGTGTGCAGCCCCGTCGTCATCATCCGGTCGTCCTTGCTACCAACATTCACATTCACGCTGCATATACATATTTATATTATATACAAGTATGTTATGTTTGTGTACATATATATCTCTAATAGGGAGGGGGAAAAGAATGCAAAAGTTACATCCTGTTGAAGAGGTAGGCCTTTCCGTTCTTGCACCGGAACGTCTGATGCGATGCATCCAATCCAATCCAACAGAAGAATGCCAATCAAATGGATGCAAGGGACAGGGGAGAAGAAACAATAAATAAATACTAAATAAACAAACAAATAAATAAATAAAACAGAAGCAACCAACACCCTTCACCCTGTTCGCTTAGCTGTGAAAGAAAAACACCGTATTATACCTGATAGCTGATACGATCCAGCGAACAGGATGCTTACCCTTGCCATGATGTCGGTGTCGTAGGCGAGGTGGGTGTCGCAGTGCTTGCAGCGGTAGATGATGGCGCCCGTCGCCGGGAGGCTCACCAGCAACAGCCGACCCATGGACCCCCGATCCGATGGATGCCCTGTACCAACTAACCAATTCGATCGGTGGATCTCGACGGCGGCCGCCCTACCCCTACCCCTACCCCTATCTGTAGCACACACCTGCAATCCAATCGATCGATCGCAGGCGCAGGCCAATCAACGGGTCGATCCCGGCGGGCGATGGGATTAGCGGCGGCCTGGGCGCCGCTGGACGGGAGGGGAAGGGGAAGAACCGAAGAGAGAGGGAAGAGGAAGGAGGGGATGGGGGAAAAGAAGAAAAACCGCTGCCCTGCCCGCGTTGGAATTGGGAAGGAGCCGCGTGCTTTCCTGTCCTGGCTTTCTTGTCAGGTTGGTGGACTTGCCCTGGTCATGCCACGCCTACCCACGGCCACGGATAAGACGCTCGTCTCGTGCTGGCCGCTTTCTTCCCTTCCCTACACTCCCCGCCGGTGCTCTACCACAGCGCATTCAAGTATTTAAAATTATTATTGTACTCTATATAAACGATTCTAGAGATTAAAAATCATTTTGCATTAAACATTTTTTCTTTAATCAACCAATCACTCTCATGTTGTTGATAGCATCTGATTAGAAAATAAAGCGAGGACACATACATTTCTAGTATTCTCTATTAATCTATCCTAAAGTTTATAAAATACACTATATTACAGGATAGAGGGAGTAGCTACATCAACTGTAGAAGATATATATGATTTGACTATTGGATTATAGATATGTGATAAGGATCTACTTCATGGAAGGGTACGTGGTGATGGGTAGGATAAAACTAGAATCACTAGCACCGGAGACTACTCTACGAGTTTCTCAAAGAAGAGCCATGCTCAATTATCACATTATATCAATATCAACTCTTTTTAAATGATGACTACATGGTTTATTTAAACTAGAAATGTCCCTCCTAGTTGGGTGTGAACATGAGCATAAATAAAAGCAAGTGGAAGATCATCTTGGTGGAGAAATTGAAGAGTCTTCTTTCATTCTCGCGCAACCATAACTCTTAGCTCGGAAGTCCAAAAGATGCACCATTTGTTGCGTTGGAAACTAGACTCGTATATCTTTCCAATGATATAGAATATGAGTGCTAAAACCATAAAAATTAATGTCAGCAAGCCACAAAATATAGTAATAATCCTGCATGCTACCATGGATATATGTTCAATACTAAATATATCTAGACTCGCATATGAACTGTTTGAACTCCTCTTAAGGCTTTGTTGGGTTTGGTGGAAATTGAAAGGGGATAAAAGAGATGGAGGGGATTTGCTCTTTTAATTCTCCCCGATCCTCTTAGATTGGAGATTAACCTAACAATACCAACTCAGATATATAGACAACATACCATTTCATCCTTGCTTTCCCTCTGCTAACTGCTCAGTATGTGGGCTTCTTCCACTGGAAATAACTACCTTGCCCCAGCCTAGTCCAACAACAAATACTGGTTAGACTCTCAGTATGGGCCACAATGAACTGGACTGGCCTGACCTACTGCCGATACTCCCTCCATCATTAAACACAAGAGTCAACTAATTCCAAAACGTACTAATATTTATCATGCATAATAAGTATCACTAAATTAATCATAGATTACTTTTTTATCATATTAAATATATTTGAAAATACAAATATTGATATTATTTTCAATAAATCTAGTTAAATTTAAGACGGTTAGACCATTGGAAGGAATTTTACGTACTTTGACCATCAGTTTAGACACTTTGATCATTGTTTTTTTCCTACAGAAAGAAATTTACATGCTTCTAATATTATCTAATTACATTATTACATGCATGCATCATGCGTGATCGATAAAAACCTATATATGTAACAATATGTTAAGAAACCACATAGTCAAAACTGCTACCGTTGAAATGCAAATGCTCTAGTGAGGGCGTCCGTCTGCCAAGACGCTTCTGCTGGTGGGCTACGATGCCGACCCGAATGACCCAACAAGTGTGCTCCATTGTGCTTGCTTTTTCTCCATGCTTCAGCCCTTGTTTATGAACAGAACCAACTCTCTTACCAAGGTCTTCGCACCGTTGCGGTGCGTGCTCGACCACCCACCGGCCACCATCCTCCACTGCACCCGAGCGTCGCCGCCTGCCTTCCTCCCTCTGCACCGAGCGTCCGTTCTCCGTCGTGCCCACCCAACCGCTTCCATGTTGCCGGCGAGCTCTGTGCCTCGTGTCGCCGATGAGCTTCGTACTAGCGACCTCCGCGCCACTCCGCGGCATCAAGGTTTGCGCCGATGTCGAGCTCTGTGTGCTGACAAGCCTCCATTCGTCCAAGCAACAAGTACATGTTCGCGCTGAAAAGCATATGTTTCAAGTGTTTCAGGTGTTTCAGACGTATGTTTCAAGAGCTTTCATCTAGATGTTGCATATGTTGTAATGACTATATACATTCGCATGTTGCAAGCGCATGTTCAAGTGGTTGACATGTTTGAGACGTATGTTGTGTTACAAACTAGTGGGTGTTGCATTTGTTGATATGGCTATACATGCATGTTTCAGGTGTATGTTTTAAGTGTTTCAGGTGTGAGACGTATGTTGCAATGTATATTATAATGTTTCGGACGTATGTTGCAAGTGTTTCACCTGGATGTTGCAAAAATAGATATGGTATTGCACATGTTGCAATGGCGTAGGTGGCTAGTGGACGGAGCCACCACGGGACTTGGTGTGGACCTCGACGAAGGAGCAGCCATCCTGGGACGTGAAGAAGGTAGTGCAGCAGGGGATGTGGAGCACAGCGCGCGCGGTGCAGCAGGGCCTGCGGAGAGGGCGTGGCACTGTATGGCGCGGCAGGGGCCTGCGGACAGCGCGCGGCATGGGCTTGCGGAGGGAGCTTGCTGAGGGAGCGCGCCTGAGATCAAAGCGCGGTGGCTAATGGGGTCGCGGAGGAGATAAGTCATGATGGGGACGCGCACGCGCATGCGAGCGCTGTTTTCTGACAGTTTGTGCAGATAAGATGCGGACGCTGTTTTTGAGCCGTGTCCGGACGCGTCCTAGCACCCCGATCATCCGGGCGCTAGGCGCCGCCGTTCCAAAAATGAGGACAAGTAAACCCAACGTCAGGGAATTATTAAAACTGACCACCGCCGCCGGTAACAAACTCGATCTACCATCGATGCCATAACCAACTATGCGTACACGTGTTAGCAATTAGCATCTGGCGTGACATATTCCGTGATTATTTTTTATTTTCCGATCACGGCGTTTTGGTCTTTTGGTGCGTATACGTAATACGTGTCGCTCCGTTTGACTCGGGCACTCGGTAAGGGAAAAAGATTGTGGCCCCACACCCATTTTTGTGGCTAGACTCTAGAGATCACTTGTGTCCGACAATACTGTACGTATATGTCCTAAATTCCATTCACGATCGAGTACACGTATGTATATGCATGCTGCACACGTTGTATGTGTATCTACAAGGGCATGAACTCCTCGTCGATGACCTTGTAGTGCTTCTTGGCGTCGTACTGCTGCACGATGAGCACGGAGGCGGTGGTGGAGAAGTCGGAGGACGCGAGGATGTCGCCGACGGGGCCCAGCTCCAGGCACTCGGCCCACTCGTCCAGCCCCTCCGTCAGCACCGAGCTGCGGTCCCTGCCGCGCCCCACGATGAAGAGCCGGTAGTCCGCCTGCATGCCCCGGAGCACCGCCACCAGCTCCGCCCCGTCCGCCACGTGCTTCTCCAGGTACCCGATGGCGGCCACGGCGGCGCCCGGCTGCTTGCTCCCGGCCACGTGCTTCCGGTAGAACTCCGCGAAGAACTTGTCGTCCACCTGCATCTGCGCCTCCTCCTGCCCCAGCGCCGACGACGCCGGGGCGCCCATCATCATGCCGCCGCCGCCGCCGCCGGGCCGGCTGCCCTTGCTCTCGAACAAGGCTCGTCCGGGCCCTGGCGCGCGCCTGCGCCGTCGCGTTCTGCACCACGCGCAGCGCCGTCAGACGCACGCCCGGGTGCTTCGACATCAGGGACGCCAGCGTCAGGGCCTCGCGGTCGTCCGCGCCGCCGATGAACACAACCACCACGGCCGCCGTCTGGGTCTGCTGTGTCTGGGATTGCTGGGACTGGGAGCTGGTGCTGACGACGGATGCATGCTTCCCACCGAGGCCTCGGTCCACCACCACCCCCACCGAGCACGGCGCCAGCTGCAGCACCTTCTGGTTGACCACCCGGAAGCCGTGGTGGCCCGGCTCCATGCTGCCGTCCGCCCGCTGCGCCTTGTGGAACGGGAGCAGCACCAGCGCCGCCATCGCGTCCTCCGCGCAGATGCACATGTCGCTGTGCATGTCCGGGAACGACGACAGAGCCAGCAGCCGCCGCACCTTCACCTTGGCGCCGCCGCCGCACTCCGCCTGGTACGCGTCCAGCGCCTCGCCGATGAGCTTCCGCATCTCCGACACCTCCTCGTCCACCACGGTCACGCCGTCGAATCCGCCGCCCTTCACGATGGCCGCCGCCGTCTGGTCCGTCATCTGCACCATGTCCACGGCGTACACGGAGAGCTCGCCGCCTCCTCCCGCGCCGCCGCCCCACCGCAGCGCCTCCATGATGTAGGACAGCGTCGGCACGTCCTGCGGGCCGTGCAGCCCCACCACGAGGCGCAGCTCCGTGGACGGGTCGTGGTGCTGCAGCCCCATGAGCCGCCACTGCACGCGCCGCCGCGCCCACGACGCGATGCCCATCCCGACCATGGGCGTCACCGCCACGTTGAGCGCCACCATGAAGATGATGGCCATGAACGACTTGTCCGTGATGATGCCGGCGTCGAACGCCGCCTGGGCGCAGTAGAGGTGGAAGTACCCCTTCACGTTGAGCAGCATCCCCAGCGCCAGCGCCTCCAGCATCCCCAGACCTCGGAGGAGTCCCGCCGCCGCGCACCCGGTGAGCTTCCCGAGCGTCCCCATGACGGTGACGAAGAAGACCTTCCACCACGGGAACGGCAGCTCCATGACGTAGGCCCGGAAGCCGTCGTCCCGCGTGAGCCCCGCCACCTCGATGTCGTCGGTGGTCTGGCGCAGCGACAGGCAGACGTGGGCGACGTAGAGCGGCAGCACGAAGGAGCTGAGCACGAAGTTGGTCTTGCTCACCAGCAGCCTGGACACCCGGCCCTCGCTGGGGAACGCCAGCCCCACCAGGAACGCCGCCATGTTCACGTTCAGGCGCAGCGCGGAGCTGAGCCAGCAGAGCGCGGCTGCGGCGAGCGCCACGAGGGAGAGGTCGAAGCCCCGCATGCGGCGGCCCTCCGGGTTGCGCGCGCCCACCCACTCGGCCATGGCCCGGGACACGAAGGCGGACACGATGACGACGACGAGGACGGCGGCCGTGAGCACCGGCTGCACGATCGGGGAGTCGTCGGACTCGCGGCCGTCCACGCCCGTGTCGCGCCAGATCATGCTGCCGACGGCGATGAGCATGGTGGTGAGCATGTCGGAGGCGAGGCCGGCGCCCACGGCGAGGTCGGCCCACGGCGGTCTTGGCGATCTTGAGGTCGGTGGTGAGGCGGGTGAGGACGGGGGAGGCGGTGTTGGCGAGCACGGCGGCCAGGCCGAGGAAGGAGCGGAGGGACCGCTCGTGGACCACGCCGGAGGTGGCCTGCATGAGCGGCATGTGGAAGAGCGTGACGAGGACGCAGGTGGAGAGGATGCCGGCGTAGGCGACGACGGAGTCGCCGGTGGGGGCGTCCAGCAGCGTGGTGGGGTCCATCTCGACGCCGAGCGCGAAGAGGTAGGGCGCGAAGACGAAGCCGCCGATCTTGCCGAAGACGAGGTTGATGGCGTTGGTGAGGGAGAGCACGCGGAACTGCGCAAGGATGATGCCGAGCAGCAGGTCGGAGAAGACGCGCGGCTGGTACACTTTGCGGAGCAGCGCGTACAGGACCTTGCTGCTCACCAGGATGACGCCGAACTCGAACAGGATCGTGTTGTAGTTGGCCGACAGGATGCTGCTCGTCATGGAGCAATCCATGGCGCCGGCCGACGACACGATATGCTGCTCGTCGATCAGAGATCAATTTCTTCTTCGTTTCAATTCGTTCCGCGACGAAGAACAAGGCAGCAAGAGCGGAACAGGTACGGTGGTGCGGCTGCGGCAGAGAGCATTTCGCGCGGCTGCTGCTGCAAAGCTTCGTCTCTCTTTAATTATTAAATGATTAGTTAATTAGTTATGATATATCCCTTACTTATTTCTCTCATCTCTTAATTACGCTAAAATTAGCTACGGCGGCGCCTTCCTATATTCTTTCTTCTTCCCTCTTGCATGCAGCAGCTTGTCTTTTTCTTTTATCTATTCTTTTTTAACAAAACTAGTAAAGGTTCCCCTCGAATATTAGTTTTTTTAGTTGAAATGCTATTTTTGCAAATACTTTTGTTTATTTTAATGTTTTTTCATTGTAATAACACAAATTTTGTATAGCTATCGAGGAAGTATTGTTCTGTTGTTACGTGCTGGACTACCTATGAGCAAGTGTGTATGTTGTGTGTTGCTGACTTTTTAATGGCTGCAACATTTGATCTGAGATGATATTTAACATTTATGCGTGGACGAGGAATCCCACGGGGATTATTAATTCCCCATGCGATGGTGGGATGGGAAAAAACTTAGCCCCCGAAGGCCTTATTTGGATGCATGTGTATTCACCTTAATTCATATGTGTTGGAGTGGAATGAAATATAATTTAGTTCAATTCCACTCAAATTCACTTCAATACATGTGGATTGAGATAAATACCGGCGCGTAGAAACAAGGCCGAAGGCATTCTTCACGGGGATGGAGAAAGTTTGTCGCTGCGTGGACGGGACCTGGGACCTATTCTCTAGTGATAATATACAATGGGCAGAGGTTATATGACCAAAGCGTATGAGTGGGAGGGTGTCCTCTAAAAACACTGTGTAAATCGCCAGCTGACGAGTGTGAACAAAAAATAAAATATTTGCCATAGCTAATGGTTGTGGGGCATGAGGGCTGAGACTGCGTTTCATGAGAAACGGTGTGAGCTTAGCGAGGAGTTCTTCGCTAACGACCGTTTTTTCTTCTTCGTATTTCTCTCTCTTCCACGTCAGAAAAAGCTAGCTCAAAAGCTTCAGAGCTACATGTTGTGACATGCTGAGGGATGGTGGATAGATCAAGGTGCGCAGAGAGGATGCTACACCACCTTTGTACGGATAGTATTTGCTAGTCTAAATTGAAGGGGTAGTTTGAGCGAAGAAGAGAGGAGAGTACGTGGGCCCACATTGCTGGCTCATTCATTACTTTGAGTATGAAATGAAGAAATCGGGTCATATATGCAAGTATGGGGAATTAATAGGGTTGAACATAAAGGGAATTGTTATTCTTGAGGCGCCTTATTTTTGTGTTCTTTTTAGGCGACCATTGACAGCCATTGATACGAAACGAACACTCCAGACTAGATCGCGCACTATATATCCTCTTCCTCACGCCACAGCACCAGCCCGCTCCTGCCGCTGACCTCCCCCACCACCCCGGCCTGCCGCCGCCACGTCGCCCACAAACCACCGCTACCACGGCCTCGTCTAATCCCATATTCCTAGTCCCCGAATTTGTTGCCGAGCCCTCGCCCCCGCCGCCGGCACTTCCCATCCGGATGAATCCTACCCCCGCGGCTCCCCGCCACCACTGCGTGTACATCCGGCCGACCGTCCCTCGGGCCTCTCCTTTTTATAAGGTCGCCGGAGATCTCTACAAGCCTGTGGGAGAGAAGGAAGATGCACGCAGAGAGAGAGAGAGAGAGGAGGAAGTCGCATGCATCATCTGAATGCATGCGGTGGATTTTTTTCATGTCGACTTATGAAAATGAAAAAATTGTAAAAATGACACTCGAAAGATTGACTCTTTGATTATGATGACACTCAGGTGGATGACAAGTGGGTCCATCTGTGTCTATGAATGTGGGTCCAGTGTCAAATCTGCAAACGACCGATGTTTCGAGTCCCATTTTTACAATGAAAACAGTGTAGAATTAAATGTGGAAGCAACTAACGACTCGCATGCAGTGGAATCAATTAAAGCGGAGTTTAAGGAGGAGGCCGGTGTAACAAACTTTTTACGGCAGGCACATCCGGCGGATCCTCCTCCTCCATTGATCGTGATCCCATCCATAGTTTTCCTTCCTTATTATCCGGGTCCGGCGGCCATGGCGTCGAATGGAGTAGGCGGCGGCGGCGGCCCTCACAAGTTCTTCAAGGTCCTGCTTCCCGGCTCCTTCGAGATCAGCCTGGTACGTACTACGTTTAATCCGATCGAAACGTTCCGTCCGATCGATCCACACCAACACCACAGCAACATTCATCTATCTACATGCATCTGCGTGCATCCATCATCCATGGCGCATGCATGCAGTCCCTGCCGCCCAAGTTCGCGGCGAGCCTCGGCGTGTCGTGTCCATGGCGCGCCGCCTCCAAGCTGCGGGATCGCACGGGGAGGTCGTGGGACGTGGACCTCCACCGAGACGCCGCCCACCGGGTGTCCTTCACGGGCGGCGGCTGGCGCGGCTTCGTCTCGGCCAACGCCGTCTCCGCCGGGCAGCTGCTGGTCTTCGAGCACCGCGGCGTCTTCGACTTCACCGTCGACCGGTTCGACGCCTCCGGCTGTTGTTGTGACGACAATGGAGGGCATGAAGATGGAGGAGGAAGAGGACCTAATAAAGTTGTTGACCAGCACATGACGACGACAGGGACAGAGGCCGCGGCCGACAAGGAGTCCGGCAACAGCCGACGGCGGCCAGAGGCAGCGCCGTGCACCGGCGGCGTCAAGAGGCGGCGGTGGTCGCCCAGCACGGCCACCACCGTCGTCTCCGGCGGCGATGACAACGAGACGCTCTGCCGCCGCATCGAGAGGCCTTACCAGCTGCGATTATTGGTAACAACTACTGTGCTGTACATACTGGATTGTTGATGATCTATTTAATAATTTGTGCATGCACATACGTCAGGACCTGAGCAAGAGCTTCTGCGACCGCGTCGGCTGGACGTCGTCGTGCGATGTCGTGCTCTGCGCCGCCGGTGACGGTGACGGTGGCAGCAAGGAGGAGGAGAAGCGGTGGCAGGTGAGCGTGAAGGTGTCGGCCAAGAACGCCATGATGTGCGGAGGCTGGACGGAGTTTGCCAAGGACAATGGACTCGCCGTCTCCGACGCCTGCATCTTCGTGCCACTCCCAGCCAGTCCAGGCTCAGGCTCCGACGTCCTTCAAGTCCACCTCCTCAGGGGCAACAGGAGCAGGGGCACATCTGTTTGACATCTCTAAGACTCTAATTCAAAGCCCATTTCAGACTTACCAAACGACAGCCACCTGGTGACATGCATGGTCGATCTTTGTTGAATGAGCACAAAACCCTAAACCCTGGTGGTATATGTGAATGAATTTCAGATGTGTGAAAATGTTCAATCGTCATTCGAGTCATCAGATGTGTGAAGATGTCAATCATATTTTGTTTGCAACAACTGGTGGTATATATATGAATGAATTTCACAATCCCACTACAGTTTTTTGTTTTTCTTCTCACTAGCAAGAGTGCCCATTGCCACGAATCAGTGTGCTCTCAATCCCGGCCTACACCATCCATTTGTGTGCTTGATTACGTACCATTGGTATGAAAATGTCACTTAAAGTATTGGCATGAAAAGTTTTACAAGAGTAGTGATCCGTGAAAATGTCACTTAAAATTTTTGTACGTAGCCTCACCGTACCGATCCATGTGTGTTTGTTGATGTCCTTTGTCCTATAGACATGTTTATAGGAAGCCCAATTTAAGCCATATCTACCGTCTACCACCCTATAATATACCAGTTAGAATAAATCTACAGCCACACAATAAATGTCTGCTCCACAGTCATGAACTATGCTACATCCACACCCATGAATGCACCCAGAAAATATAACACCATCAAAACGGATGCACCAGATTATCTCTTAGCCATTCTCTCTCATTACTCGTCCAAATCCGAAAGCTCATGTTTAGTGTGTTTGCCCTCCATCATCCTCTCGTCGGACCTCCCATGTGCATGCGCCTGCAGTCGAGTCTTCGTGAAGCCCAGAACCGAACGCCCACCCAGCCCCGCACCGCGCGCCGCACCCATGCTCCTCCCCGCTCCCTCACACCACCCGGGTTCGATCCGTCTCGAATTGAATTTCTTCGGGGAAAAAACACCGCGGCACAGGGCGGTGGATGGGTGCGCGGCCCCCAATCAGCGGTGGCGGTGCCGGCGCACGCCGCCCAGGGTGCGGAGGCAGCGACGGCGCCCACAGCGGCGGTGCCGGGGAGAGCCATGCGGCACAGGTGGTGGGAGCGGACCGCGAGATGGATGCCGCCGCGGTATGGCACTTCAGGGTACAGCAAGGAGACGGATGGACGTCGAGGACGACGACGATGGCATCATGCTCATGCTTGGTAAATAATCCTTCCTTTCTGTTTTTGCCGTTTCGTGCATGTCCAGTGGCCGTGATGTGTTCGACATAATGCCTAACCATTTATGTTCTGTTTTACTTGCAGGATTTATGTTCGGTCGTGCATGTAAGATTTTTACTGCGGGTTGATGGGCTACCATGGTCATATTTTAATCTGCTTTGCATCCTCACTGGTTCAGGTCATGATGATGGTCCATTATTCCCTTGCATTTCTTGTTTCTTGTTTCTTTTCTTCTTCTTTTTTTTGGCCTCCATTGTAGTTTTAATGCCATGCACACTGGATATGTTAGGACTGTAAGGTTAATGGTGGCAGTTTCTGCGCTCCCATTCATAATGATGGCATTGCATGATAATTTTTTCTTTGTTCCTATAAAAAATTACCTAAATTCAAGGATTATGTGTTTCTACATTATTTGGATTCATATCAGTTTTATGATTTTCTTTTCCTTTTGGCAGTTTAAACTGGTGTTTTGTAAAATGCTAGAATTCTTAAGACTATCAAATGACACGCATTACTTTTATTACCATGAAAATCATTCAAGGT